TGTTTGGAGTACAAAACTACAATTCATGTTCTCTTCATTGATTATCGCCAAGCCTTCAACAGCATTAATAGGAGCAACTTGATTAAAGCACTAATAGAATACAACATTCCAAAAAAAGATGATAAGATTGATCCAGATGACTCTAAGCAATATCAATGCCAAAGTTATTGCCAAGGGTAGTGTAAGTAATAAATTTACAATATCAAACAATGTAAGGCAAGGATGAATGCTCAGTCCGCCATTCTCTTCAACCTAGCGTTATGTAAGGTAGTTAATAAAATAAATACGTAAAGAAATATATTTCATCTAAACATTCCAATCTGTACATATGCAGATGACATAGTTCTTGTTCCCAGAAGTGTTCAAACCCTTACTGAAATTTTTAATATTATTTATGCTGAACGTAAAATTATGTGTCTTGAAATAAATGATTTAAAAAATATATATATGTCCATTGCTTATGGCAATTCAAGAAATTCCCATAACCTTGTGGCGGAAGGACATGTTTTCGAAAACATCAGTACCTATACCTATCTAGGGGCAGAAATAAATAATGAAAACAGAATTATGACTGAGGTGCACAGAAGGATAATAGCCACTAACCGTGCGTATTTCACGAATTTAAAGCTTTTTAATTTAAATCATCCTTGATATCAAGGAAAACAAAAATAAGGCTATACACTACCTCAATAAGACCCATACTTACTTACGCGGCTGAAACATGGACGATTACTGCCACCATGACAAATTCGTTAAGGGTCTTCGAGAAAAAGATCCTGAGAAAAATATTTGGCCCCTTGTACGATGAAACAACTCGAGCTAGAGGATGGAGGATTAGAACCAATAAGGGACTATATGATTTATTCGAGCATAGTGAAACTGTGAACTTTATAAAATCACGGCGGATCGAATGGTTGTTGGGACACGTTCTTAGAATGCCAGATGAAAGAAGCCCAAAAAAGATGATCAAAGGAAGAATTTATGGTGTCAGAGGTAGGGGAAGGCCGAGAAGAAGGTAGTTGGAGGATGTGGAGGACAAACTCAGGCGGTTAAGAGTTACAAACTGGAGGGAAAGGCTAAGGGCAGGGACATCTGGAGAGTTGTTGTTCAGGAAGTCAAGGCCCACCCCGGGCTGTAGAGCTATCGAAGAAGAAGTAAAAAATATAATAGAAATATATTACATTTCTATCAAATTATTGAAGGAAGTTTATTGACTGTTCTACATATCATGGGAGATAAATATTCCTGACGCACTCAATATAAAGTTTTTATTGGTGCCGACATTTCAACCCAAACATTTGGGTCATCATCAGGGCTTGTTTCAAGCACTATATGGGTTGAAAAGTCGGCATCAATGAAAACTTTAAGATGACTGCATCCTGAATATTTATTACCCATGATATGTAGAACAGTCGATCAACTTCCTTCAATAATTCATTAAATCACTGGGACCATCTATCCCAGTACTTGAATACCTTCAGTGCTGGCCCACATGTTCGGGTTGAAACGTCGGCACCAATAAAAACTTTATGAATGTGTCCTGAATATTTATCACCCATTATATTTCTATTGGTTCTGAAGTTCATTCCAGTTTAAAACAAGGTGATTCTCTTTTGCCTGTCCTGTTAAATTGGTCATTAAAACATGCCATTAGGGAGGTAATGCATACCAAAAATGGATTGGGTTTACACCCATTCCTCTCTATGCGGATGATCTGGACCTGTTAAGCGAAGACATGGAAACTATAAAACTAAATACGAAAACGTTAATGGAAGCCGGTAAAGAATTAGGGCTCGAAATAAAGATGGATAAGAAAAATATATGGTTAGCTGCAAAAATGACGATATTGTTGATGATATCAATATAGAACGTAATATGTTTAAACATGTAGAGAAGTTTAGGTATCTAGGATCTATGATAACTAGAAAAAATGAAACTGAGAGGAGATTAACGTAAGGCTGATGGCGGGAAATGTGTTATTTTTCTGTGACAAAACTACTTAGCTCGCGCCTCTTTTCCCAGAACTTAAAAACAAGAATCTATAAAGCCATACCATTATCTATAAAAACAAATACCATTATCTTGCCTATAGTTCTTTATGAATGCGAAACGTGGCCACTTACATTAAGGGATGAACAATGTCTAAAGGTTTTAGAAGATAAAGTATTGTGTACAATATTTGGACCGAAGAAGGATGAATTAACTGGTAAGCTTAGACGGTTACACAATGACGAATTGCATGAACTTTATCCAGTTAATATAATTGAGGTGATTACATCGCGGTGAATCAAATGGGATTGTGAAATTGTTTGGTTTAATAACAAAAGAAATCCTAAAAGATTAATAGTTGCTGTAGCAAATGGTAAACATCCGAGAGGTAGACAGAAGCGAAGGTGGGCAGATTGCATTAAAGCCAATCTGAAAGGACTGGGTGTGGATGGCGAACGGTGGAGGGAGGTGTGTATTAAGTGATTGGTTGGTGTCAGCATCGAACCTTCAGGTTTGCTAAGCCTATAATTTTATTCTATCAGTTCTAGAGAGAGAATCACTTTATTATCATAAAATAAAATAAAATGGTGCTGCCCAATTACATTGGGTTGCTAACAACACAGCATACTTATTAATCACTAGACATTATTTAAAATTATTATACAATTATATAGGATTAACAATATGTATGAGCATAGTATACAATATTTTATACGTATATATATATATATATATATATTTTTTTTTTTTTTTTTTTTTTTTTTTTCCTTTTTTTTCTCCTTTTTTTTATTTTATAATTTTTACTATTTCTTTCATTCATTTATTATCATTCTGTACCCTTTCTCTTCCTTCTCTCCCCCTATACATGTTCCCACTCCTCACATTCTCTCCTCTCTCTTTCTAACCTAATACATAAAAAATACATTAAGTACAGTGGACGTGTTCAATAAATAATAATATAAAAATGCTGTAACACACGCATGCCTCCCCCCCCGAGCAAACTCTCCCCCTATCCGCTCCCATGCACATGGATTGTAATATACATTTCAATTCACTTACATGCCATTGTATACCTTTTGAATTTTGTTCAACTGTTTACTGTTTAGATTTCCATCAGTTTTAATATTCATTTTAAGGACGCAATGGCTGATCATGTTGGGGTTCCAGAGTGCCCAGTTTTGAATGTTGTGGGTTCGATTTCCACATAGGCTGATTAATATTTATTTATCAGTGGCCACAGGAAATGAATTTTAACACTGCGACTCAGGTAAGTATGAGGTGGCAACCTTAAGATAGCCGTCAGGGGTTGGCAAAAAGACCTACTTGCCACACTAGATCCTCCCACCAATAACAGTACCCGTAATATTCATTTCATTTCACATATATATATATATATATATCACTACTTACCGTTTGCATTTCCATTTATGTTGCTTTCTACTTTACTCTGTTTATACTCATTTCAATTACTATTTGTCATTCCTAACCCCCTAAAAAAGATATGATAACTTGTACCAACTTATCATCAACTCTTATTTAATTTTTTTTTTTTTTGGTACTTTTCACAAAATAATAGTTAATTTTGTATCTTGTTCTTTTAATATCTGATGAAGACCTATAATCTCGGCTATAAAGAAATAATACACTCTCATTGTGTGTGATTGTTAACCGCACATTCTGACTGACTATTTCTTAAAATATATACACGAGTGTACTTTTATTTAAGTTAATGTGACATAAAGAAAAAATAATTAAATGTGAATACAAAAATATTGCTACAATTTTAGCAATCTAAAACTTTCTTACAATATCAACAGTTGGAACTAAATTTTTAACAATTTCAATATGCCAAATACATCAATTTAAAAAATTACAATGTATTTATTTAGTACTTGTACTGTCATCGACTATCAAAAACAAGTTCAGATAAATTACTAACTTTGCAATTAGTGTCAAGATATTAAATGCAGAGGACAGAAATAATTATATGTTTGACATGTAGATTCATTCTATTTAATGACTTGGATCAGATAATTCACATTGCTATTGTGAAAAATTCGTGTTCAATAAAGTTCTGAATTTGAATTTTTCTTTACATCACATCTTGTAACTAATGACAATGGGAGAGATTCTGAACCAGAAATAAGATCATATTGACTCTCATTGTCATGGGAGTGGTCTCATTCGATTCATACAAAAGAACTATAAAAATAACTTTAACTTATTTAGAGCAAATATCCTACACCAAATTGATACTCCCCCTCCTAGGGAGGATTATCAATGACTTACAATGTCAATTTCCTAAGAATAATTGCTTCCCACTGTATAAAGAAAATCATAATTTAACAGAAAACTACTATTTCTCAAAAATTATGTTTTATCATTTTATATTTACTCTTCAGCATTAATATTGTGATGATGAATATCAATTACACTTTACAACTAATCTTAAACCATTGATAGCACAATAAAAGGAACATGCCACTTCTGATAATGATGAACATTAAGAGACATCAGTTTACACCCAACAAATTTCCAATGTCTAATAAAAATAATTTAACTATACAGCAAAAAGCTTTTCTATAGATAAATTTAATAGTTGTTGAGCAATAAGAATTATAATATGCTCTGATTTATTTTTCCCCTAACAGATATAGGTGATAACAGGATGGTGATAAGTTTTGATTGAAACAATCTTAACTAAAAAAAAATTGTACATTCCAAGTTAATACTTGGATAAACACAAATGTATAAACACCACAATAGTTGGATGAATTGAAGTTTAGCTCTTTCACAGAAAGAACTTAATATCATACATATAATCATTTACAGTTGTTAATAACTTTTCTGAACAACCAAACTTAAAGTGTCATATACAGTGTGAAATGCACTTTTATTAAATACTAATAAATAAACAAAAAATAATCTAATATCTTTGATTGAAAATACAAATAACTACAATTAAAGTAATTCTATAAGGGTGACACTAACTAAAATGTAAAAATACTCACATTTAGATTGTTTTTCAATAAAAACATATTAACTATCTTCAAGCATTATCTTAGAAATTCGACCTGTTGGGCTAATTACACTAAAATTTTCACTTAAAAAAGCGTCAGCAACAATCATGGTATTTCAAGCTTCACGATGGTTTAAACTTTGTTAACTTAGTTACTATAATACTTCAAACAACCACACCTCACAACACTTCAAAAAACAGAAAAAAAACTGATGTCAACGAAAGTAAACGCTTCAGACAGCAAAGGTAACGTAATTCTTACAGAAACTGAGAGACCATTGCGTGATAAAATAACGTTAAATACACAGACTTAATGTTTCTTTAAAGACTCACAGCAATTAGTCAATTCACACACGAAAAATAACGTACTAAATCGCATTTCTACAGTTCAATCCACTAAATTATTGTGACCCTTAATAATGGGCATCAAGTCAATCAATGTTGCCAGTTCAGTGAAATGTTACTTCACCATTTTCTCCTTGTACAAGAAGAAAATCATTCATGATGTATCACTTGCTAAAACCATTTTTAGGAATATTACGTTATTTAATAATTAAAAATAAAAATTCTTGTAAACATTGCATATGTATGCTTTTGTTTTGAGAAAATCGAGAGCAACCTACATAGCGTGGAGCCACTCCCAACATAACAGGGGGGGGGGAGGAATCACGAAATAATGTACTTTGTTTAAAAGAATATTATATAGAATTACTAAACGCATGCATAGTAAATCCCTGACTATAGAGTTTAAAAAAACTGATATAAGTATCTGATGTAAATAAAATGTAAATTAGAACTACTACTGGGACATTGTTCATTGATTGAATTGACATGACTTTGTTTAAAAATATAATTAACGATTTCGGTTGAAATTTGTCAAAAAATCTGATTTTTGACTTACAAAATTTAAATTAAATGATTGTAAACTCTGTAAGAGTGCTAAAATTAAATAGACTTTTATAAAGGATTTAATTTATTACAACATTAATAAAATTAAGTGGTGATAAAAGTAGCTGCTCTTGTTTGTTTTTAAGGTAATTTAGTCAATTAAAAAAAAAAGAATCCTTTTTAGTCAACCTGGTATCTAATTTGTTGCCGGGTTGAACAATTAACAGTACAAATTAAAGAATATTACTTATTTATTTAATCTATCTATAGTACGTAACGGTATATTGGAGTTATAACAACACTGAATTTATAATTATAGTAAATGCTATAGTCAACATTTCAAATTTTTAGCTATCAGAAACGATAATAGATATTACAGGGGGCGCTGATGGTTAACCTCGTGGGATTTTTAGATAGTCGCCATTTTGCTCCGTAGCACATTTCAAATCTATTAGGCGAAGTTTTCAAACTCCTTATTCTTATTGTTCCAAATTTAAGGATGTCTACAACACAGTACGGAATCGGTGTCACTAAGAACCGATTCGAATTATTCGACATTGATGATGAAGATCCGTTAGAAGTTTTAAAATTACGTGAACTGGAAAGAGAGGCCCGAAAGAAAACCAAGCTTTCTGAAAAAGAAAATAAAGGGAAAGAACTAGCACCGAAACCAAAGGTTAGCATTCAAAGGAAAGGCATTAAAGAAACTCAAAATCTAAAACCTCTGGAAGGACAAAAACCCAAGGAAGGTATGTGTATTAATATTTCAATTTGTTTTTGTGGTTTCATTCTCAACGATTTTACTTGGTAAACTTCTATGTTGGGAATAGAGATGAGTACCGCTTTATGTTTAATTGAATAAATTTTACACTGTATTTAATTTACATCAAATTTTTGCCCAAATACTTGTCCGATACATCTTAGGTCAGTTGTATTTTTTAATATCCAAGTAATCAGCATAGTCAGGTAGTTTCATGCTCCTAGTTCATTAAATATTTGGATACATAGTGCATATATCTTCAGTATTATCAAGCAGATCTTTACATTTGTAACCTATCTACATCTCTTGTTTTGAATTCCATTGTTTAAATTTTTACCTACTGATTATTAGTTATTGTCTTTTAACCTTCATTGATTGTTATTGTACAGATGATCTCTGTATTTTGTACTATATCAATATCTCTGTGATGAAATAGTTTAATCTTAGGATACAATAAATCTAGTCCCAAAAAGTTATTGGTTGTTTTTCTTCTGGTTCTAAATTATAAATTATATGCTATCATTTCATCATGTAAATTATAAATTTTTCTTATCATGTGATGAAAAATAGTTTTCTGTTTACAGTTATAATACTTCTATAAATGAGTAATTAGCATGTTATGATAACCTTTTTTAAATTCAATTATAAATATTGTTAAAGGATAGTATAATGCTTTATTGATAGGGTATTATAATACTAAGCATTGTTTCTGAAGAAGATTTATTTTATAGACTTTTAAGTATAGGAAGTTCACTAAGGTATAGTTTATCACCAGAATATCATTTAGTTGTAGTTTTTAATTTAATGTTAAAATTTATATGAACTATATTAATTAGTTTTCTTTTTTACTTACTAGACACTGCTTGGATATAAAGTGAATTGTTCTCCCCCTTTCCAACTAATGGTGTTGGCGTAATTATTTATAAGCACAAATTAATAAATTTATATATCAGAATTTAAATTTCAAACTTCGAGTCATAATTTGCTAAAAGCAGGATTTTCTTGGTTTATCAGTTGAAGATCACTAATTGTCAACTGTGCAGGAAATGTCTGGATTTCGGATTTTCAGAATAGTCAGTGTATAGTAATGAGAATAATCAGATAAAGTGACTTGAAAATCAGAAAAAGAAACAGTTGATCACTACTCAATATTAGCTTTTAATGAAAACTTCTACTTTAATACTTAAGTGAAGTTTTTAAACAGAGACCTGAGCTCATTGATGCCATCGTACTCAGTTTAGAGATAGATCATATGCTATTAGTGAGCTAAGTGCTGAATTAAGAAACTTGACCATATTATTCTTGATCTATCTTATTAGTGAATTCTAATATCTTGTCACTTAAATTAGTCTTGATTTGTGAAAATTTCTCAATTTACTTGTTATAACAAGTTCGATCATGTACTATTGTATGCTAGTTTCTTGAAGAGAAAATAAAAAAAAAATAACTTGCAGGCCTTTTTTCAAACATTAATTTAAAACTAAAGATTTTATATTAAATGATATTTAGTTATTGTTTTTCACTTATCAATTCAATTTAGTTGAAAAAGTTAGTCCAGTTTAATAGGAATTTTCATAGTGTTTAAACATGTATCAAGACGGCTTGAGCATTATATATCACTGTTGGGACATTCATTATTTTATGAAAATGATTAATGTTGTTCTCAGTATTACTTTAGAGTCTTGGTTCTGTTACATTGATATTTTCTCAGAATTTTAATTATTTGATCTTATTTTTATTATTGTTATTCTAGTTGTACTTAAAAATAGTGCTATAGCATCTATTTATGTTTGATATTGGTTTTGTTTTTTATTCTTACTATAAGTACTATACTGCAAATTTGTTTTTAAAAGACGGTTTTTCTGTTCGAATGAATATTGAATGTTAAGAGCTCCATCAAGACTCAAAGTACAGCTAATTGAATTCTCTACAAATTATTTTATCATAATTATCTGTGGAGGAATAGCTGTATCTCGACATGCAAAAATACATTAATGCACAATAAATGTGGATTTAAAATTTTGTCTGTTGATTTGATACCTCTTTCCAACTTCAGCAAACATTTCTTGGCATTTGTGCAGTTTTATGTTGACTTCAAAAAATCATCAGTGACTTAATTTTTGCATATTTAGTACATCCCTTTCATTGGATACCAGTTTGGAACTCCTGAATTAGGTTGATAGACAATTAAAATTGAATACTGAATATGGAAATTATAACAATGCGCGCTTATATGTTCTACTATGAGTTTCTTTAAATAAGTCATAAAATTTTGTCCTGGCTCTTGCATTATCAGCTATAGGCCTGCTGAATGGTACATTTTACTATCCATCAAGGGAGTTATTTCTGACTTTTTATATGTTGTATGTGATAAGATGGTTGGTAAAAAATCCAAATTTTTTACCTTGACAGATCGAATCATTTTGAAATGTGTGGACCACAAAATTATATTTGTCAATTTTTGCATCTGAGAATCAATTTTTCGATTGAAGTGATTTTTAGTTTTATTAAATTAAACTAATAATGTAACAAAATAAGACCATTTCTTTCTTTTAACCCAAAACTATCTCACTTAGTTTCCGAGTTATACATGCTTAATAATTGCCAATTTTAGAAAAAACAAATTTTCGCCTTACATTTTTTTCGTTGTTTTATTAGCCAATTCTTTATCTATTTTTTTACAAAAAAGTAATGCAAAACATAGTTTTTTAGCATTAAATTTTTATCAATAATGTATATTATTTTACTATCTTATCTCCAACTGCTCAAAAGTAAGAGCAATTATAATTTTATTCCAAAATTATTTTTGGATTTTACCAAATAATTTCTCTATTTTTTCGTTAAATTCTGCTCTAAATCATAATATTATCCAGGATTAATGTATTTTCATATAAATAGTATGTAGTATATTAGAGGCTGTCTCAAGTCGTACATAAATAAGTAATATGTATTATATACTACAGTTTGAGATATATTAGTACTTCACTAAAAGTAATATTGTTTGGTGTTGTTGAATATTATTCTTGACTCTGTAGTCCCTTGTCCTTCACAGGAGTTTTTCTTTTTAGGGTCAGGAATTAGGATCAAAAGAGTTCCCACCTCCCTTGGGTTGAAACACATCCTCTAATGTGTGAAAAACCTCTCTCTCTCCCCCCCCCCTTATACTTGACGCTCTTTGTCAGTTTTCATTTCTATTTTGTCACTGAATAGAAATGAGACTGATAACATGTGGGTGACACATGATAAGGTGGACATGACAAGAATAAAAAATTTTATTATGAGTAGACACATGCAATTCGTATAAGTGAAAAGGACAGGTACATGGTGGGTATTTAGACTTGAAAATGGCTCAACGAGCTAAAACGTCGTAATTAGATTTGTAGTCATTAAGTTGACATAATTTCAAAAATTGGTGTATAATTGGCTGGTAGTAAATAAACTTGAAAATAAATAGTATGCAACGAAGAAGAAGTGAGAAATATTGTTAATATGTTTTATTTTAAAAAAATGACAAGACATTTATTAAAAATGTTATATACAAAACATTGTTCATTTTAGAATTTCTCAATGTATATAGTTTAGCGGAGCGAATTTATGATTAATAGAAATAGAAATAGAAAAATAACTTTATTCTGGGACACAGTCCCTTGAGAATAACAAATTAGAACAAAATTAAAATATTACATCTGGCCAAAACAAAATAAATCGAAAAAAAGAAATAATGTAAAAAAAATATAAGGTAAAAACTCTATACACAAAACAAACTAAACTATATACAAAACCATTAATACTATTACAAGAAACTTAAAGCTATTTAGACCAGTATACACTTTTCCGAAAAAAATAAAGAATTAAAAAATAAAAATATATCAAATTCTCTATTAAAATCCACTCGAATGGTTAGCAAGTATCTGACTGTTTTTGTGATAGGAATTGGAATAGGAGGGATTTGAATGTGGATATGGAGGAGGAATGTCGGATTTTGATAGGGAGGGAATTCCAGAAATTGACAGAGCGAACAATAAAGGAATTTTGGAATGAGGCAGATCTGTGAGAAGGCATGTAAAGGTCAGAAGGTCGAGATCTTGAGGACAGGGAATGGACTGAGGTTTTGAACTGGAGAAGGTTGTAGGCGTAAGAAGGACGATGGTTGTTGATGATTTGGTAGAGGAACGTACCTAGAAAGTATTGTCTTCGGAAGGAGGGGTAGAGCCACCTTAACTCAGTGTAGTGGTGAGAGACATGGGAGTACCTCGGGGCACCAATAACAAATCTTACGCAGCTATTCATTAATCTTTTCAGTCTATCACGGAGCTCCACCGAGAGGCCATCATACACCACACAGCTGTAGTCAAAGTGGGGGAAGATGAGAGAGGAAATTAGGAGTCTACGGATATGTTGAGGTAGGAGATGGCGGAAGCGATGAAATAGTTTAAGGGTAGAGATTGTCCGACGGGAAATGTGAGAAATATGGTTGGTCCAGGAGAGGGTTTGATCTATGAAAAATCCTAAATTTTTAACAGAGGAGTAGAAGGAAATTGGCTGGTCATTAAGGTGTAATATGGGAAAGTCAGTATGGGATCTAATGAGGGGCTTGGAACCAATGACGATGGCCTGAGTTTTGGCAGCATTTAACTTTAATATATTATTATATGTACTAACTGTATACTGTATCAGTAGCAATCCAAGATTTAATTGGAAGAAAATTTATTGATTGAATGACTATGATACCTCACCCAGAAAAATATTTAAAGGACACTGATTAAAATTGCGATTTTTACCCCTTTTGAAGTTGAAAACTTATTGTAATTATTTAAGTATTTCATCATATATCGCCACTGCATTTATTTAGGGGTAAGAAATAGAGTTGTAAAAGTTCTATTAGACTCTTAGAGTTGAAAATAGTATTCAACACTCACTGATCAATATTACTTATTTAAGTGCTGTTTATAAATATGCTACATACTATTTATATGATAATATGTTAATACTAGGTAATGTTATGATAAGAGCAGCAAATAACATAAAATAGAGACGCTAACATTTTTTTTTATAATCTCGAAATAAATTTATAATTTTCTAACTCAGTTGTCTCCAAACTTTTTGAGACCTTGACCAAGTTCTGCGGGCCATGGCTTGTGATAAAAAAAAAAAAAAAAATGCAATCCCATGACTTTTTCATAAAATTAATAGATAAAGAGTTTGCTAGTCAAATAACGATAAAAATTAAATGCAACATTTTTTTTTTTCAAAATTATATATTATTATAATTGACTTCCGACTAGCATAACTATGCGAGATAAGATAAAAATGGATATAAAAATATTGTTACAAATTTTATCATCTTTAAGTTTTTATCAAACATCTTTATTGTTGTGGTGGTTTGCCTGATGAGTGGCAAACTTAAAAAACTGACCTGAGTGCCCCCCTCCTATTCCCACATCTGGCTCACCTTTCAGAAGTGAGGACTTGTATGTTTACCTCCTATCCAGGATGTTCAAATCCTCCTCGGTACAATGTCAAAGTCAAAAATTGTGTTTCTTCCATTTCCTTCTATAATCATTAATTGATTGGACTATATAGTCCCAGTGTTTTTTCACAGCTTGAAACATTAACACATTGTTCTTCTTCCACCTCTTCTTATCAATGGAACTTTCGTCAGATATTTCCAGTCTGCAAATTCTATATTTTGAGTCATCCAGATATAAAGAAGAACATAATTCATCTTCCTCAAGCTTCAGGATGTTTTATCTCTTGATTGCTTGTCCTTTAATGTTCTTCACCAATGAGGTCCTGTTCCTGAGGCATGCAACGACTTAATAGTGATCGCATGCCTCAGAAACTGCAATCCTAATTGTCCTATTGAGCAGATTAGTTCTGTTCCTGTGGATGATCAAAATGTGGTTAATCTGATTTACTGTTTTTCTCTCCGAAGATCTTCAAATTTCCTTGTGCATGGTTTTATGAGAATACATATTTCATCCAATGACAAAGTCATGTGCGGTAGTTGAATAAGTCAAAAGTTTTATAGTTTCTGTCCATTGTCATTGCTGTGTTCATTCAGGCTATGCTATCCTATGACTGGAATATAAATTCATTATCTTCCCACATATGGATGGTAACCATAGATTGTGTTCCCTGGTGATCTCTGTTTGCAGATACAGTGGTGCGTTTAGTGTGTTGTATATACCTAGTCCTGTCATAAATATTGGATCAACCTTAACACTGCAGGAATGGTAGCCAACAAACGGAGGGATCAATCTCCTAACTTTCTGGGAGGATGAGATACTAACGGAGGGATTAATCTCTTGACTTAATATGAGGGAGTTCAAGCGGACGGGACAGCATCCAGACCTTGTATGGAGAGAGAGAGAGAGAGAGAGAGGGAGAGAATAGGATAAAGGTTATAGGAACATGATAATAGAAGAAGGCAGTTTGATGTAGAACTAAAAAAAGTATATAAATCACATACTGATAGATTGGTCACTGATATCCGAGTCAGAGGCCTTGGAGAGTCATTATTTCATGCGAAAGATGGGTAACGAGAGTCGTACCCGATTATTCTGCTATTATTTTTTGATCAGTTGATTTATATATCTTTATTTAATAAAATGAACTTACTTTTAAAGTACAGGTTTTACCATAAAAAAAAATATACATTTTAAAAAGTAATATATATACAAAAATAAAATACATAAATCATCTTCTGATGTGATCGTCTGGTGGTGGCGCGGGAGCGTGAACTACGTGCAGGGCTGCTACACACCATTTTAGGAGTTGTAGGTAAAAAAAAAAAAAATTAAATCTGGCTTTTTTCCTGTAAAAAGTTTTTCCTTAGTGGCTCGCATTAGGAATTTTGTTTTTTTACATTTTCCAACCCATATTTACAAGTTTAAAAGATAAAAACGTTTCTAACATTTTTCAAAATATATTTCCCATTTCGATCTTCAAGTTACTGACCTAATATTCTTTAAATCAGCCACAATTTTTTAGCAGAAGAACTCCGCAATGGCAGACAAGATTCATTTTACTTAAAATAACTTATACTTTAAGATTAAGAATTTACATTCAAACTTTCACATATAATAAGATTTATTTTTAGGCCCTGGTTCCAGGGCCATATATAAACTGTACATTCCAAAAATCACAACATAATTAGCTGTTAGATTTCCATATCTGTATTACCTGTGCAGTTTCTCCCCTCTTAAACTTTCATTTTTTTTTTCTGCTAATCAGTTTTGATCTTTAAACAGAAGTGAAAGGTAGACCTGCCAGAATTGAGAGACCTGAACGAAAATTTACTGGAACAGACCCTAGAGAAGTTCAAAATAATCGCCGTAATCGTGTGGAGGATCGTGCATCGACTGATTTTCAGCCTAGGTAAGTTATAAGTTTCCTTAATCCTATTTATTTATTATTTATAAAAACATGTCATTATTAGGGTAGTAACTTCCTTCTTTACATTAAACTAGTCTATATATATTAAACATAAGAAAGTCACAATATTGCATCCTACTATATTTAATAATGTATGCATTTTTATTTTGTATTGGTATGCATTTTTTATGAAAATAAATAATGAATATAAATGTACATTTAATGTAGTAATTTTTGCAAGCATTGGTTAAGAATTGATTATTTGTAAATTATTAAGCATTTATCATATTTTCTTAAATTTATTATTATAATGATTATAATCTTGATTTGTTATTTCTTCGTAAAATTCAGTTTCTTTTGACACCTTGTTTCTCAAAATACTTCGCTGCTGAGATGTGGAAAAACAGCCTATACTTCATGTAGCACACTCTAAAAAAGGATAACTCAGTAGAATAGACAACCATACTGTTGAAATATTGAAAACCACACATACCTCCATTATCAATTTCCACCCATCGGGAGATAACTGCTTTTCGAGTGGAATCAGTGACCTATATTAAAACTGTTGATGCAGAATTTGATGCTCCACAACTTTTATTTTATCAGTTTTTCCTCTAAGGGAAGTTATTTCCAAGTTGCAGGGCCATTTATAATAATTTGTCTGACTTTTTTGAGAAATCTGCTGTTGTTGACAATGGTTTTCTACCATACCACTTTACCTAATTATTTAGTTTAGGTACTCGTTAGATGAATGATTTAACATTATTAATTATGCATGTATATCGAAAGTTATAAAAATAAGGGTTGTAATAAGGAATAAGGAAAGAACCAAGGTTTTGGTTGGTTGGCATCCAGTTCCTGACCAATGAGATTAGAGAGTAGGGCCTTGACTTTCTGTAGGTTATAAAAACCTTGTCAAGCTCACAGTCCAATTAGTTGTTTGTCTATAGTTGATAAGAAAGTTAATGGTTCAGTTATTGATTCTAGTGTTAGTGAATTATTTATGAACATAACAAAAAAGTGTGTATTATCTGATTCGTAAGTGAATTTTAGAGTACAGTCTGGACTGTTGAGTTAGTAACATTGTCTCTGTACAACTTAGTTTCATGTCTAGAAATTCTACACCAACGTCGATGATTTTTTGTAAAAGATTAAGTGTTAATGAAGTGGTTAGTAAAATTTGGTGACAATAGTGGTGTAGATAGTTTTACAATTACAGTAGTAATATTTGGCAGATATCAGAACAGGCTTCGCTTATCTAGATTGCCAGCTGGATCTGGCAGCTGTGTAACAAACATCGCTGGTCTTTTAATTCAAATTAATTTTGAAATTCTTAATCTTTTGATTGCACTAGCTGTATTAATTTATTATATTGTGGTTTTCTCAATTTACTTTGCATGGGGAAATGGCTGCAGAAACTGCTTTAAAATGACCCTTTTGAGGGACACAAATGATCAAGTAAAAAGAGAAACTGGGAGATGAGAACCTTGAAAGAATCGGTGGAATGCTTTAAAATTGAGTTAAACGAACTTAAGTCTAAACTAGTATATTTAGAACAGTCACACAACTTATTAAAAACTACATTTAAAAATAAAATCGCATAAAAGAACCAAAATTTAGATTTAAAAAAAATGTATTCAAATAGAGAAAAAAATCTAATAATATATAACTTTAAAAACATCACAAATGAAACGCATAACTCTCTAGAAGAGACTAGTAAGTGTTGTAAATAACAATTTGAAAATTAATCTCAGCCTTTCAGAGATAGACTTGATCACCATCAAAACGAAATAGGCCGTTGTTTTTTTAGCAATGAGAAAAAAAATACAGACTTTAAATGCAAGCTGGATACTTAAATCAAATTTGAAGTTTTCTTGTTATTATACTCCTCAAGAGAGAGAAATCAGGAGATAATTATGGCCATATATTAAAATAGCCCTTGAAAATGAAAGGATAGCAAAATATAGAGAGGATAAAGCATTTATTGAAAATGTTATTTACACTTTGGAAGAGATAAAATCTAAAGATTCTAGCAGTAATATAGTCAGAAATTGCATCGAAAGATATGACTATGGAGGCATTAATAAGTAGTGAAACAATAGTAAGAGCTAAAAGACAGAGAAGTGAGAAACCCACTCCTGAAAATAAGGCTGATTGACCTCGGAAAAATGAGATAAAAGACTTCCATATTGAAAAACAAGCTAGCAAGAAAATATATAGTTCTTTGAAATTAAGAATCAGCAATCTAGAAAGATATTACTGCTGTCACCCCCTATAGTTCTAATTTTAACTTAGATATTGAAATATTATCAATTGATGGTTCATATCATGGTACTATGTGGTGAAAACTGATTGTGAGAATTTTGTTAATATTTAACCAAGAGTTATTAATTTGATATTTTTCAGGGTTTCAATACGTTTGAATATGTATAAAATTTAAATGTATATATTAATTTCAGGGAAGAAAGAGGTGGTGAAAGGTTTGAGCGACGTGAATATCGATCTGATAAGACCACTCCTAGTGGGTTTTATGGAGAAGGCGGTGATGGAAGAGGTCGAGGTAGGGGTGGTCCACAGCGTGGCAATTTCATTCGTGGAGGTAGAGGAGGGAGAGGAAGTCAACGTCCAACATTTGATGTTAGAGGGAAACGAGAATATGATCGTCAGTCCGGCTCTGATAAAACGTAAGGGTTATTTTCTGTCTTGTCTAATAGAAATTTATTTATTGTAAATAATTTAGTATTCAAGAGTAATTTTAAGTAAAATTATACGCCATAAATAATTATTATTACCAATACAGTAAACTAATCGATCTTCCAAAATTTCAAATTATTTTGTTGGGTCTGTAATTTTTCTTGTTCTTCCTAATGAATATTTTTATTTGTCATAAATGCTTACTAATGGAAGGAGTACTTACAGTGGTGTGAAACATGTAGACAAGAGAGAAGGTGCTGGCGCACACAACTGGGGAAATCTCCGAGATGATATTGTGTAAGTTCATATGATACCTTGTTTTTCTTTTTCATTTTTAATGTGCTTGTGAGGACTTTTATTTGTATTAGTAGAAATCTATCAATTACTTTTTTAAATTATAATACTATTATTTAATAATATTTTTAAAATACTTAATTTTAGTTTTTTTTTTAAATTGTACTTATAAAAAATTCTCAAATTTTAAATTATTAATAAGTATTCCCTACTGTTAACTGCATTCCTATTGATTTTACTGTCTACATCGTTATAGTACTAAAATCATAGTCACAAATATATAATCTCAATGTTATAAGTGACTACATTCACAAGTAATTATTTCTTTATGATACCTGTGTTCAGTGAATTTTCTATAAATTATTTAGCGTAAACGAGTTACTCACTAGGTTTGTGAACCAATAATACGTTAATTAATTAAAAATACAAATGATTTGGCTGTTCAAAAATATTTATGTGTGGGAAATGGTGTAGTCAAACCCAAAAAGAAAAGCTAACATGTAAAAAATTGGTGATTTAGGTATAAACATGTTTTCTTCCCCCAACTATCTTATGACCTGCATTTTATTAAGCCTATATAATTTGCAATAGTTCTTCTAAGAATACTTTCTTAACTAGATCCTAGGTCAACCCCTCTTTCTTTAAAAGCTTGAACAGATTATTGTTATTCAATTTTCCAATATTTCTTAATTTAAATATTATTTTTTCATCTGAAATTCACAAAAATGAGGAGAAAGCAGAGACCACACAAATGTATTTTAACCTCAACACGTGCAGCACAAGTCTAATTTTTTTAAATTGGGCTTAAGGCCAATGGCAGTTACCGTGTTAGGCCCACTGTTTTTTTTTCTTTGAAATGTCACCAATTTTTAATTGAGCGGATAAATTTCAAATACTACGCTCTTCACATTTACTCATGAATAATGTCAAATTTTTATTTGAAATTTACCTGGAAGCGAGATCCACATGTTTACAATCAAATCTGTTGAACTAACGACAAAAGGTTACGTCTGTCACTCCTGTTTCAAAACTGAATTTCTTGTATCCTTAATTGACCTAAGCTATTATAAAGTGGATCGATGTTATCAGAATATGAGTGTCACTGGCTCCCAGAGTCAATTATAAAGAACGTCTATTATGCAGAAGTCATTTATATTGTAAAATTGTTGAAATCAGATGGGGATTATAAAATTGTCCGCTGTAGGCAAGTGTCCACAACGGGAAGTTTCACTATATGTACAAATAACTATATAAACTAAAAACTAATAATTACAAAATAAAAGTATTCATTATATAATCATTTTGAATATCAGATAATTTTTACTAGTTGTAATCGGTCTTGTACTGGGTGTGTCATGCTTAAGTATCCTAACTAAAAATATGAATTCTGGATCTCAAAACAAGAAAAAAAAAAATCCTATGTTGGTATGTCCATTAATATTCAATTTAGGAGATATTCATGCCTAAAGATTTTCATTGTTATGAGTTATTTATATATAATATAATGAATAAATTAATGTTTTCCATTATTAATGAAATGTAAACATTAACATTTGTGTTAAATATTGATGGATAATTGAAACTTGTGAAACTATAGCAAATATCTAGCACTGACTTCCTGGGCTCTCAAGGTCCTAGGTTCAAGTCCGACTGAAAACTAGTAATTTTTCATTAGCCTTGGATTGACCGTGGGGTTGGGAGATGCTGCTGGGGCACACCCACCCTCTATAATGTGTAGCCTCTATAAGCTAGTCTTAATTAAATAATTAATTAATCCGTTAACCAGGGATTTCCCTTTTTAATTTCGCAGCCTATAATGGGTACGAATTCTTTCATTAGGACATGTCAGTACATCACATTCGGAGGACGTAATTTCATATTATTTTTTTTTATTTATGCTTTAAATAAATGAAAAGACTATGAAATGTATTTTTTTTTTTTTTTTTTTTGTTTATTTATATATAAAGCACAAAGGAAAATTCAAAATTACAAACAAATAGAAAAGAATACCAAATAATGGAAACATCTAATTAATAAAATATAAATTTTACAAACTATTATACAAATTTCAAAAAATATGTTTTATTTAGATACAAAATAAAAAGTTAACAATTACAAAACAATAAACATAAGCACACAAATAAAATAGAAATATTGAGTTCCAAAAATTAAAATATACATATTTAAAAATTCAAAACTCAATTTCCGTGTGATATATTTGAAACAATTTTTGATACATAGTGCTACCTTACAATCCTTACACCAGTTTGTAGATTCTTTCTTAATTCCTTTTTTGTAGCAAACACCATTTTCTGTATTTAGTTTTTCCTGTATCGCTTTTCATTTGTTCTGGAAAAAGGAAGGATCTTCCTTTCAAAGATTAGTAAATCTTTTTCTTCTTTGCTAGAGAGGATCCAGCTTTCTGATCCATATGTGAGAACAGGCCTAATGAAGGTCTTACATAAGAGGCATTTTGTATGACAGGATATGGCAGAGCTTCCAAGGTGTTTACAGAGGCCAAAATAGCACCTGTTTGCCCTTATATTCGCTGGTTGACCTCTAGGAATATTATATTTCCATAGCTTACAATAGCTCCTAGATAGGTAAACTAGTCTACATTGTGGAACGTAAATGGGCCCATAACCACTGGTACTCGTATTGCTGTCTCTGTTTCAGATCCTGCTCGCATATACATTGCCTTTTCCTGGTTTACACTCATTCCCAAAGCTTCTGTTGCTTCAGACAACTTTAAAAATGCACTCTTAACAGACTCGAAGGAACATGCCATCAGATCTAAATCATCAGCAAATCCCAGTATTTGCGTTAATCTGTTAAAGATAGTATCGGTAGTCAGGATCCCCGAGTCACGTATCACCTTCTCCAGGGCCAGGTTAAACAATAGGCAGGCAAGCCCATCCTCCTGCCTAATTCCACGCGTAGAAACAAATTCAGGTGACAGGTCCGATTGTACCCGAACAGTGCACCTAGCATCATCCATAGTCATCTTGATGAGGCGGACAAGTTTCGGGGAAACTCCAAGGTCACAAGGAGCTGCATACAGTTGAGGTCTCTTGATGCTGTCGTATGTACTCCAGAAGTCAATAAACAGGTAATGGGTCATCATCCTGTACTCCTGAGACTTTTCCAGTTTCATACGGAGGCTAAACATCTGGTCAACTGTAGATCTTCCTCCTCTGAACCCAGCCTGAAACTTACCTATCTCTCAGCACGGGAGGAGTTTGCAGTAAATGATGTTTGAGAGGATGTTATATGCACACTGAAGAAGTGAGATTCCACTGTAATTGGAGCAGTCGAGGATATTACCCTTCGTGTGTAGTGGATAAATTATTCCCTTCTTCCACTGATTTGCCATTTTCTCGTCAATCCAGATGACGAGGATGATGTCGTAGAGGGGTCTCTGGAATTCCTCGCCACCATGCTTGAGAAGCTCAGAAGGAATTCCATCCTCTCCTGGGCTTTGTTGTTCAGCCTGTTAACTGCCTCAAGAACATCCTCACATGTTGGTGGGTCAGGAGAGTCCACATCGTGCTTAGCATTTGGGATTATGAAATCGTCCAGACCATCTGCACCCTTGTTCAGAAGCGTATCAAAGTGATGAGACCCTTCGACATTGTCGGACCCTTGGTTTGAATGATGTCCTACTCTCATTCACCGCCTTGTAGAATGCCCTTGATTTACTCTGTCTCCTTTGCTCCTCCATCTCCTCTAGCTGTGGCCTTTCCCATTCTCTCTTCTTTCGTCTGTGTAGTCTCTTCTCTTCTGTCCTTCTGTCTCTGTACTCCTGTGTGCCGCTTCTAAACCATGTTTTTGTAGGCTTTATTTTTTAAAGTCGTAGCAACTGCACACTCCGCATCAAACCACGGGGACCTAACTGCTCGTTTCTCTATACCTACAACTTCCTTTGCTGTTTCTTTAATGATTCGGGATAGGGTGTTCCACTGTTCTTCTGCAGAGCCTTCCGACAAACCTGAACCTGTCACCCTTTCATCCAACGTTTGGCAGTAGCGTTCACTGACTTCTGGATCCTTAAGCTTGGATGTCGCTATTCTTTCTTATCTTCTTTTCCCTGGTTTTTCTTGCATTGGATATCGTGACTCTGATCCTAGATATCACCAGATAGTGGTCGGTATCCATGTTGGCTCCTCGGTAGGATCTGCAACTTAAAAGATTAGATCTGTGCCTCCTACTGACCAGAATGTGATCTATTTGGTTCACATTACTTCCATCAAGAGAGCGCCATGTTCCTTTATGGATGTTTTTGCCAGGGAAGAGCGTGCTGTCAACAACCAGGTCCTTGGATGCAGCAAAGTTTATCAGCATTCGGCCATTCTCATTTGTGTCGTTATGGAGACTGTGCATTCCAATAGTTGGTTTGAAGACTAGTTCCATGCCAACCTTTGCATTAAAGTCTCCCATGATGATCTTTACATTACTTTTCGGACAACTGTCGAGGGTCCTGTCTAACTGATCGTAGAATGATGCCTCCTTTTCATCATCAGGAGACACTTCCGTGGGTGCGTAGTAGCTAAGGAATGTATAATTATCAAACCTGCCTTTCAAACGCTAAAGACAAATCCTGAGACTTACAGGGATGAAATTTATTACCCGCTTCCTGGCTCTTCCCCTTACTACAAAGCCTGTTCCAAGGACATGTAGATGCTCGTTGCCGCTATGGTATATGGTGTGGAGCCGTTTTTCCAGAACTCCACTTCCTTTCCACCTCACCTCCTGCAGAGCTACTAAGTCGAGGTTGTAGATGTCAACTTGTAGGAGTTGCCGAAGCAACCCCAGTCTCTACAGGGTTAAAATATTCCATTGTCTTATTGTTAAGTCCTTTTGGCGTATCCTAATTTGTTTACCATTGATCTGTCCGGCTATTTCTCTTTGAGGGTTCATGATGTGGTTGATTTAAAGGGAGCGAGGTATCAACCCGCTGCCCCTGAGTCAGGTGGAGGGGCTCCCTCCTCATAGCGCCCTGACAAGCTTCCCCATCCGTGGCGGCTACCTAGGGAAGGTGACCCTAGGGTGTGTACTGTAATTGACCTTTGTCTATAGTGGGGGAGTGTGTGAAGTTGTCTGTATGCTGTAGTGGGGGAGTGTGTGAAGTTGTCTGTATGCTGTAGTGGGGGAGTGTGTGAAGTTGTCTGTAGTGGGGAAGTGTGTGAAGTTGTCTGTAGTGGGGAAGTGTGTATGCTGTAGTTTAGAGTACTGTGTGTGTGTCAGTGTAGGTATAGGTTCCCCCAACCTGGAGGGCCAGTGGCTGACTGCAGTCTAACGACTGGGCGATGGGGTCGCCACTTCCCGACGCCTATATGTTCTATGTGTATTCAATATCATTTACGTTTGATGTATTTATACATCCTACTCAGTTAACAGGTTAAGGGGGGAAGCTGTTGGTTGAGAGTGATCTCAGCCTAATCATCTCCCTGCACAATCGTTAGCCTTGTAACAGTACTTCCTCACATAGTACTGCATCGGGTGGCCAAGCGGGCTCGTGTGTATGCACAGCACCCCGTGTTGCCCAGCAACCTGATAACTGAAGTTATAAATGATAAAATAATTGCGAGTTCGCGTCCTGGTGCCAAGGGTTCTTTTAACTTGGCATTAATCTCCTCCCCCCACCCCCTTCACCTCCTGTTCTGGGAAAATCCCGCATGGCCTAAATGTCAAGGAAGGAATGAAAAAAAAAAAAAGAAACTGTATCCAAGACCCTTCATGGGTTGTAGTTTCAGATTGATTTGCTCACTGCTGTTGTGGAAGGAGGATGCTGAGCCTATCTTTATGCTCAAGGTTATCACATTGAACAATATTTAATATGAATTTTAATGTTTATATTTCATTAACATAGTAGTCTGAAAATGTATTAATTTATTTATTGTAACGTAAATAATTCATAACAACAAAACAATAAGACGTGATCATATTCTAAACAAAGTGTTACTTACCCTCAGAGCTAATTTTTTTTTTTTGTTTTAAGATCTAGTCCAGTCAATAAAGGGGATATAGAGTGCATGAACAGGGACCTAATTGATTCCTTCAGAAACTTGTTTAGGGGGCTTAGAAACATGAACATAACAGAAGTCCTGATATACAGATGGTGAGCCGAGGGGGAAGGTAATGAGGAAAGGTCAATATTTTTGGACTTTCGCTTACATGTCAAAAACAGCGATCACAAGAGAAATTTTTCGTGCAGTAAATTAAAGCTTATAAAATTATCTAAAAAAAATTTTCTATAAGTTTTGTCCGGATTCTAAACCGTAATCAAGCTACATGCTCCAAAAAAGATGACATTTTTTAAAAACATCGTTTTGCCTCACATTTTTCATAAAATATTCCTTCATATATTCTTAGGTATTATTAGAGAAAGAAATTCATTTAAAAGATGTTGACTTCAATTCCCTATTAGAATATATAACATATGCAAATTAATCTCCAACCAGTCTACAGTTTCAGCTATTCTAAAAAAGTCCAATGGTCCCACAAAAAAAGTGAACGCACTGTTAAGGGAACATAGCAAACTTCCCATTTGAATTTAATTTAAATTAAATGAAGAATAAACCAACACCGCTGGGACCTCGATCATACTGTGCTTATGTATCTCAAATGTTATGGAGAGTCTGCCATCACTGAAGCATAGACGCTCACAGAGATTTAAAAACTCACGAGGTTGGCCAGTAAGAATATAATGCTGCTGAATTACTGAATATGGAGTATAAAACTACAGCAACAGGCAAGTGGCCCAGAAAATAAGAGAAAAGACGAACAAGAAGAATGGCCAGTAGAAGAAAAGAAAAAATAGCAAGTATCCCAGCCCACCTATATTTAAACAATGTATAAATTCCAAGCTTACCTAAAATAAAGCTAAACACGCACTATCCCTAAATGCTGCCGACATGGCAGGTTGACAACTTTGACTTGAGTTAGGTTAAAACATGAAAAATATTTAATAATATAGTTGGTTTAGGCAATAAAAGCACTGTGTCAAAGTCAATTTATTCAATTCGTTCAAACTAATGTTGAAAATCAAGCATCGTTTGTAAATAAACGGCCACAATGTTATTGTATTTTTGTTAAAAAATACCTTGAAATAAAACATCGGGACAATACATTTATCTTTCTAAATCAGTGATTAGTTTGTAAAATATTTGAAACAGTTCCTTAGAATAATCGGCAGAAAAAGCAGTTTTTCTGTATGCGCCTACTGTCTTCTTCCTCAGTACTCATAAATGGCATAGTTATAATTGCTATAATAACGTTTTTGGTATTACTTTTGTTCCTTTGTATAATAATATGTGTAGACACACTTTATTTCCAGTTAATAAATAAATTAGAAGAAAAAAAATTTCAAGCAACACGATTTTTTAAATGACATTTTTTGAAAAATTTTAAAATAGAAGTAGCTGTAGATTGGTTGGAGATTAATTTGCATATATTATATTTTCTAATAGAGAATTTAAGTCTACATCTTCCTTTAAATGAATTTCTTTCTCATTAGTTGTTTACTATAATTAGAAGTTTTATCTATAGATATAAATTTTCATTTAAAATTTATGATGATTGATTAGGATTTATCATCAATTTTCTATTGTTCCTTGATTATCAATGATAAATATGACACAAAAAGTATAAATTATGTTAGCCCAAGATTTTTTAATATATATAAAATTTAATTTTCTTCTTTCTTATGAAGAATAATGTTAAGATGACATCAAAATAGTGTATTTTGATTGTTTTACTTAAATGGAATTATTTTTAATATGCTTTCTAATAAATTGATTTAACAATTTTATTTTTTATCCTTGTCTATTCTTTTTCAGTGATATTCAAAATACTCCCGTGTCTGATGAAGCTACATGGACTGTTGAAAAAACAGAAGAACCTGTGGTTGAAACCAAGTATGTTTTCCTATTTATTTACAATACTTAATTTTATTTTGAATATTTTTATTAGGCTTTATTTTTGGGCTGAATTTGAACTTAAAATCTACTTCTATGCTTAATAAATTAAGTCACTCCAAAGATGACAAAGGGGGAACACTAAAATAATAAGACAATTAATTCTTCTTAGATTAAGAAAAAGTATATTAAATATGGATAATTAGTTCGAGGACTCAATTAAGACTTGAAAGTGGCCCTAGTTAAGGCCAAAATATCAAAAATAATAGTGCAAATGAAATAAAATAGTGATGTAATATGGCCTTAAATTATAAAAAAGGAAAACCTTTATACACCAAAATTAGAGAAAATGGACAGAATATAATTCAGCACTACTTATTTCAGGCTCCTTTGGGTCTGACATGATTATTTTTTCCTGCTAATTGCTGCACAACTTTCTTGTATTTGATATTCACGCTTGAATTTTAGTATCACCCATTAATAATCTGTATCTTTATTTTCATCTCAATATGTACTGCAGCTGATATGGTTTGATTTGTGCCAAGCACTGATATGTCATGGCCTATCTGATTAACCAGTGTACTATCAAGTTCAAAAGGTCCCCTTATGAACATTTTTCCTGGAAATACAATGCTTCCAATCACATGATACTTCGTAACTACCAATTTAAGTAATAAGTGACTGTTCTCATTCACATTGCAAACATGAGTTTTCATGGAGGCGCTTTTTTTTTGTATTGTGGGTCTATAAATAGGTTCCTTCCCTCTTTCGGCATTAAACTCTCCTAGAAGTGTGTATAATCTCATATTTAGGGTAGCTATTTACAATCAATCCATAAATTTGTAGAAAGTTTCTTTGTCCTATTTAGCTTAATCCTCTGTTAAGGTATCAGGGTTTCCAGCATATAGGAATTTCATGAAAACCAGGAATTGTGCAGGAATTTTCCAATAAATTCTTGAAAAATTTGTTTAAGCTCTACAACCGTATGGATGATTTTTCGATACAATTTGATGAAATAATGAGCTATGAATAATTTCAAAAATTTAGGTAGAGATTAAGGTTGACCTACCTACCACCCAAAACCTGAATCATCGTAGAATTTTAGACTAAGCATATTTTCCTTTCATTTTTTGAAAATGCCTAACACTTGGATTAAGTTGCCTATACTATGTTTATTTGTTATTGTTATGTTCACTTCAGCTTGCGAATAAAATGATAGTTCTTGGTTCTTCTACGTTCTAATTTTTGGCAAAAAGATTAATCTCTGTCCCAGGATAATTATTGTCGCGCTGTTCGATCTGGCAATATTATAATTCGCCCATATCCAGAAATGTTATTTTTTTATATAGTGTGTATAGTAATATCTACATGTCTTTTGATGGTATATCACTTTGTGGTTTCCAGTCAATGCCAAACATTGCAAGAAAGAAGGCCTCCCTGTTGTAGCTCCACTTACAAATAAGATTAAATCATTTCATACTACACTGACAGGCAAAACATTCCACCCACTTGATTTTTTCATGTTTTCATCTAAAAATATTTCTGCTTTGGATTCGTCTATTGTTTTTAATGAATAAATAGGTAATCTTTTTGTTTGTTTTCTATTAGGAATGTTAATATAGAGGAGAATAACCCTTAATCCTTAATTCAATGAAATGATTCTAGATTCCAATGTTTACTTTCTATGGAATCAAAATGTTTATTCTGTATCATTAGTTCATTGCCGTTTCTTGCAGCACATTTCTTAGTCTCCGGCTTTTAATTTTTTCAATATTAAGTTTAAAAATGCCTCTTAGTGCTGAGGATGTTGCGCGTGGTGTGGCACTTATTGATGATGGACGTTCCATTAGATATGCAGCTAATGCCATCGGAGTTCCTTATGAAACTTTATGAGACTCCGTCAGGCTTTTTCAGGAAACTGGTTTTTACAATAGAAGGCCCGGTTCTGGACGGTCTAGGGTAACAGAACCAAGGGATGACCGGTTTTTTACTTTGAGAATTTTACGGAACCGACACCTTACCGTTGTTAAGTGATTCATCAGCTCGAAGAAGTTCGAGGTGTGCAAATTTCTGAACGTACCGCTCGGAGAAGATTAAATGAGTATGGATTAATGGCTTTTCGTCCAGTAAGAGGACCAGAGTTGACCAGAACTCGCAGAGTAACGCGGCTGGCTTTTGCTCGAGAACACAGCCATTGGACTATGGACGAATGGAGTGCTGTACTTTTTACAGATGAGTCAAGATTCGCTCTTTGATCTCCAGACGGGCGTGAAAGGGTGTGGAGAAGAAGAAACGAAAGATGTGCAGCCTGTAATTTTTCCCAGAGCTAACCTTTCCAACGTGGTTCCTTAATGGTGTGGGATGGGGTTTCAATGGAGGGCCGCACAGAATTGGTTGTTGTTCGTGGAGGGTCTTTGACGGCCATTCGCTATGTAGATGAGATTTTGGAACCTCGTGTGTTGCCTATCCTCAATGAAATCGGTGATCGTTCTATTCTAATGCACGCCCACATGTCGCCCGCATAGTGCAGACGTTCCTTCAATAGAACAATATTGAGGTTTTAGCCTGGCCAGCACATTCTCCAGATTTGAACCCCATTGAGCATTTATGGGATAACCTCAGAAGACGAATAAGAGCGCGTGCAACACTTCCTGATGCACTGCTGGACTTTGAAAGGGCTCTTTGGGAGGAATGGGCTATCCTCCAGCAAAGGGACATTTCCCGACTGGTGGAAAGTATGCCGAGGCGTCTTCAAGAAGTAGTGAAGGAAAGAGGAGTAAACACGTGCTACTAAACGATGATTTAATTAATTTCTTTTAGAATAATAATGGTTCATTTTCAACTTTTTTCTCTCTAATCTTTCTTACCCAATCCCATTTTGATTATTAAAGGTAAAAAAGATTATAAAATTCCATAAATACTAAGTATTATCTACCATGTATTATATACAAATACAACTTTACGGAAATATTTTTAGATAAAAACATGGAAAAATCAAGTGGGTGGAATTTTTTGCCTGTCAGTGTATAATATTTTTTTCGCTGTAAAGATCCTTTTCCGGCTATCAGGAACAGTTGGTATTGACATATTACGTATAAAATGAAAGAGGATTTTATGGAACAGTAACGAATTAGTTTCATCTTCCTAAAAAATTCACGAAAAAAATCACAGAGGAAGTCTTGCCAGTTCTGGGGACTTCCTCTGTGGTCAAATACTTTGTCTTTCTTTCATTTACCTCCAGCCCAAATGCTCCGGCGTCCTCCAACAGAATTAAAAATCCCTCTCTGATTGATTGCAGCGTTCGCTCCTTGATGTCCACATCATCCGTTGTTGGCTGTAGGCCAACAGCTGGACCATCCGATTGTAAACTGTCTTATCTGTTTATAAACCTAAATCTCTCACTGCCTTCTCAAGTGCCAAGTTAATCAGGAGGCATGCCAACTCACCACTTTGGCGATGTCCTTTTCCTAAGGAGAACTCCTTCCGTCTTCACCCACCAACCCTTACAATATAATTCACTTCTCTCATAGTCAGCTTTACCAGTTGTAATAGTTTACCTGAACAGGATGTTGAATAAAATTTTATATCCACTAGAGAGAAAAGAGATTCCCCTGTAATTTTGGCATTGGAGTTTTTCTCCTTTCTTGAAAATAGGAAATATGATTGACTTTTTCCAATCTTCCAGTAAAACCTCTTCCTCCCAGATGGTTTAGATATGATTCTGAAGCTCATCATCAGCTCCTCACCTTTGTTCTTGAATAGTTCAGCGGGTAGGTCATCAGCTTCAGGCGCCTTATTATCTCTTCATCATCAAGTGGTTCACGTTATCTTTCAGGTTCCCGATTGTCAAGTCTCAGGTCTGATCCACAGTGAGCTGAGTTGAGTATCTCCTCAAAGTAACTTTTCCATTGTGATAGAACGTCACTCTTGCAGGCCACTATATTCTCATCCTTGTCTCTACAAGTTTCCGGTACCTTTGTTCGAGGGCTTCTTCATCGATTGATGCTCCTGAAAAAATTTCTTGATTTTTTTCTCCTTCCAGTATTTTTCAGTCATCTCCGGTTCTTTTTTTCCCTCTTAGCCTCTTTTTTCTTTGATAGAGTTGTTTTTCCTCTCTCCTCTTCTTTTTATATTCCTCAACATCTTTTTGAGCCCCTTTCCTAAACATATTCGTATAAGCTGTATTCTTTGCACTAGTGGCTGTCTAACATTCTCCGTCAAACCATAGTGATCTCACTTTCTTTTCTCTCAGTTCTAGTACATTATTAGCCATTTCCTGCATAGCAGGCACACAACTGGAATGCAGAAATTCTATGTTTTCCGTACTTACAACCTGAGCACGGACATTTTCGTTTACTTGCTCAATGTACAGCTGTTTTGTATCTGGATCCTTTAGCTTTCTCAGATTATAATGCTTAGTTCTTACAGCTTGGCTGCCAGACCTTTTGAAGATCTTAGTGGTGATGTGAGCAATACACAAAAAGCGGTCTGAATCCACATTGCCATTTCGAAAACATTCTCACATTTTGGAGGTTGGATTTGTGCCTTTTATCAACAAGGATATGATCTAGTTTCTCAACATGTTCCCTATCTGGTATGGTTTAGGAACCTTAATGAATATCCTTGTGTGCAAAAAAGGTACTTCCAATGATCATGTCTCTGGAGGCAATGTTTACCTACGGTAAACCTCTTTCGGTTCGTTTCGGAGGTATGCCTCTTCTTTTCCTATTTTTTCATTACAGTCTACCTTTTTATACCTTGGGCACTGATCAAGGGTTCGTTTAAGCTTTTCATAAAAAGTATCCTTATATTCCTCACTTTAAGCTTCCGTTGGAGCATTTACACTAATAATGCTGTAGTTATAGAACTTGTCATGAATCCTTAGCACACAGATACGTGGGGTTACAGGCTTAAAGCCAATTACCATTTGCCTAAATTGGCCTCTTATAACAAATCCTACACCATATTCATGAAAGACACTGCTACACTATAGTAAATGGTGTGTCATCTGTATTCAAGAGTACTTAAGAGTCCTATAGGGGTTGCTGGGTTGTTTCCGTTCAGGACAACTGATATCTGAGGCTGATTTTGGTATCGACAAAATATAAGCTTCAGGTAGGAGGGCTTCTAACCCTTACTCTGTACCCTATAGTATACTGGTGGAGCTGCCACCTCTGTGCTTGTATACCTGCACCCCCGCATTATAATAACTTGAAATAATAGGTAAAATTGTTACGTTCAGAAATTTACACACCTCGAACTTCTTCGAGCTGATGAATCGCTTGAACAGTGGTAAGGTGCCGGTTTTGTAAAATTCTCAAAGTCAAGAACCGGTCATCCCTTGGTTCTGTTACCCTAGGCCGTCCAGAACCAGGCCTTCTATTGTAAGAACCAGTTTCCCGAAAACGCCTGACGGCGTCTCGTAAAGTTTCAAATGGAACTCCGATGGCATTAGCTGCATATCTAATGGAACGTCCATCATCAATAAGTGCCACACCACATGCAACATCCTCAGCACTAAGAGGCATTTTTAAACTGAATATTGAAAAAATTAAAAGCCGGAGACTAAGAAATGTGCTGCAAGAAAAGGCACTGACCTCATGATACTGAATAAACATTTTGATTCCATAGAAAGTAAACTTTGGAATCTAGAATCATTTCATTGAATTAAGGATTAAGGGTTATTGTCCTCTATATTAACATTCCTAATTGAAAACAAACAAAAAGATTACCTATTTATTCATTAAAAACAATAGATCAATCCAAAGCAGAAATATTTTTAGATAAAAACATGAAAAAATCAAGTGGGTGGAATTTTTTGCCTGTCAGTGTATATCATATATTTTCCAATCCATATATTTATTAATGTTAAGTTTTACTACCTATATATGCTAGTTTAATTAATTTTACATATATCTATCTTATTTTCTCGGCATTTATTTGTTATCTGGTCTTTGCTTAGCCCTTAAGAAGGCCTGAAACATTGGCACAAAGAAAATAAATATAATTTATTTCTGAAGAGAAGATTGGATGAAGCATTCAGTCAAAAAATGTAAAAATGAATAAATTATGTTCATTTTTGCCTTAATTTGTTTCGGCCCACAGTTCCATCCATTTGGCCCAAAGCCTTCATCATGACTAAGAAAAAACAGATAACAATGGGTATGAGAAACTATTAACATTCAAAAGAAAATAATAATATATAGGTGAAAAGTATAGTCTAAAAATGTAGGTAGAATAAACTTAAAGAAAATATAAAATAACGATAAAAAAGTTAGAGATAGAAAGTAGTAGAAGCGAAGTTAGGATATATAATATAACGGTAATAAAGTTAGGAAATTATGAATAAAATAATAACACTAACAGAGAACTATGAAATAAATAATAACTGTGACAAAGTGGGGACTAATAAAATAAACATAATGAATGAAAGAAATAAGGTAACTTAGAGTTTTTGGAAAAACTTCAAAAGTCTGTGGAAATTTCAATTTTCAAAATTGTAGTTAAGCTGTGATAAATAGTATGAATAAAACATCCATTGCATAGTTTTTCATTCTATATTTGTCAAGAACTTATTTTTATTTATTTTTTTTTTAGTGGAACCGTAGTTGAAACTGAAGAAGTTGTTCAAAATATTGCTGAAGAAGAGCTGAAGGAATTGACCTTAGATGAATGGAAGGCATTGAAAGCTCCAAGACAAAAACCTACATACAATATTAGAAAGGCTGGTGAAGGAGAAGACCCTACTCAATGGAAAAAAATGTATGCATTGCAGAAAAAGAAGGATGGTGAAGAAGATGAAGAGGATGACGAGTTTGTAAGTAAAATTTGCTCAGTCCTAAGTTTTGTTGTCAAAATAAGTATACTTCAGGGACATCGAACAATATTCCTACATCATATGGCTCATCCTAGTTCAAACAATTTAGACGTTATAGACAGTCCATTAGCTACAGACTCTGGAATAACTGGAAAAGGGAATTTTATTATTCAAGGGACACAAGCACTATTTTCCTGTAATGAATCTGAATTACTATTGGTCAAAATAAGTTTTATATGATATTGATGTATAAGTATGACAGCAAAACTTGTATTAAGCTATTTTTCTTGTTAAGCAATAATTGATATTGTTATATGAGCTTATATAACTTGTTTCTCTATAGATTCTTATGCCTAAAGGAGCTGTTTAATTTTTGTTAGATATCTTAGAAAATTAGTTTGTCATATATATTAATAATAATTCATAAAATTCAGGGTTTTCCATAAAAAAAGATTTTGGTATACATCCTGCAGCTAGCACCTTCTTAAAGTAAAATAGCTCACTATCAAAATAAACTGGAAAAAGAATTTTTTTTCAGGAAATATTAATTTTAATGAATGAAGTTCGAAACAAAAGTTGTTCAGCTTATGATTGAACCTATGAAAACAGTCCAGTTACATTTTAAGGAAAACTTAAAATAATGTCTTTATGGAGGGTTGAGCACTGTGAACTTTTCAGTAATTTATAAAAGCAAAAAAAAATGTTACATGCTCAACAAATTCAAGAAACAAAATTATGAAAATTTATTGTCATATATAGCTTATATAAATGATCACTTAGTGTCACCCAGGGAGTTTCAAGTGGCATTTTAGCCTAGAGTTGCTCTTAGTTTAATTAGATTAGTAGTATTCAAACTAAGCCCATCGACCAAGTCTGGCCCACCATAGTTTAATTGATTAAATTGTAAAATGTTGATGTAAATACTAAAAAAATAATAATCATATGTCCTTATTTGACAATCAATTAAGAAAAATAATTCATTTATAGTGAAACTTAATAGTTAACTGTAATTAATTATGTGAATATGTTGTTATGATGAGGTAGCTAGGTGAAGGACTAAAGTGGACAACTTTCGTGACCCTTGTGACTTGTGCATCCAAAGGTTGGCTGATCCGTGGATTAGACTATCCATCTGGGCGTTAGAAGCATTTGGACTGGTTTATATGGACCCTTTTATATAGCACAGTCAATTAACTACCTTCAATAATTTACTAAATTAATTTTAGAAAGATGTAGATCAAAAAATTGATAAATGATAAAGAAATGTGTTTGATTATCAAATACACATGAATTCAATTAGTGCTTTCCTGGTAACTTTCTTTCCTTATTTTACTTATGTAATATTATTTATTCAGTTGCTTCCAACCCGCGTTAAGTATAATATTTGTATGGCATTTTAAAAAGAAAAATGAGTGGTAAAAGAGTTCTGTCTGGTAGTATTTCTCAGAAACAGCATCCAAGTATGCTGAATTAGACATTGTCATACAATTAAATGACAGGTTTATCAGAAACTTAAATTAGAAATAATTAGGTTTATTGAGAACTACAGTTTGAACATTAAAAACCATGAGAAGTTGAAAAAAAAAAAAAAAAAAACGTGTGCTTCCTCCTCAATGGATTTGACAATAATTTGAACTAGAGTGAGCAGGTCTTGTTCCAAACACCAAAAATCATTGATGTGTGAATTATTAATCATACACAATAACACAGTGGATTTAACCCTTAGGGTTAGTGATAATACAAGAAAGCTTTGAGGTTACTAGTAACTTTCAATGACCAAGAGACCTGGTACTCCCAAAGTAAGTGAAGAAATGTTTTTTGCTTGTTTAAGGTAATACAAAAATTAGAAGAACTTAGCCAGCCAATATCCTCTTAACTATTAATTATAACGTTATATTTGCAGGAGGCATTCGACAGTATAGAAAAATATTTGGAGTTTATTTTAAGAAGTCTACCCAAATTTCGAAAGGAATCCTAATAGAATAATTTCATTATAAAAGTGTACACAAGTTGAACGGAAATATATGTGTGGAGAGGGGGAGTAAAGCAAACATTTTATTATGTTTAAGGGATGACAGTTCTCTACAAGTTTTTGCCAATCTTGGTTGGATAGAAAGTTTAAAATGTGAAAAAGCCAATAATTATTGTTTTTTTAGTATCACTCAAAAATAGCTGTAGTTTTCCGCATTCTTTCAGAGTTTTATTTAGTTAATTAATTTAAAAAATATTTGCAATTTTACACTAAATATAATATGTAATTTAGTTTAATTTATTTAATTCAAATTTTTTTTTAAATACTGTAAAATCCTTGTAATATCTGGAGATATGGCTTGGTCCTCTGGCTTTTGAGTGAGGGAGTTAAGAAATTACTTTGACTCGTAGGAAGCATAATCAATAATGGGACCACTCCCCTCCAATGCTCAAACCCTAAAACAACCGACTTTCTCTGTCAGTCAGATTTTGTCATTTGTGCACAAGTGACTAATTTTTTTTTATTGAACAGTGCCAATCTGCTGATTCTCATATTGAAAGATGACGAAATTGAGTTCCTTATGAAAGTATTTATTAAAGCAGTGGATTGGATTGGTGAAGAAGAAATGATATTTGCAATAAACCCAGACAATAACATTCATTTATTGTTACGCTTGCGATATAACGGTAAGATAAATTAAATTGTTCATTTAATGTTAGATAATTCTCTGTTCTTACAGCTGTCCAAATTAAAGTATGCAGAAGTAAGAATGATTTTTATAACATCTGAATGCAGTTAGTGCTGTTACAAAATCATTCAGTATATTTTTGTAACATAATATGTTTAAAAATAGTTTGTTTGTTTTTCTGAAACTTCTTTTTAAAGTTTGGTTAAATAAAAATTTGGGGTTAAGGAGTTGTATTTACTACAAGTTTTTCTAAATATATAACTTTACAGCTGACGAGAATTCATATGTCTGGACATTTATGCTTGTTAACATTCTGAAATATAATAAAAATGGTTCTTTCTTATTAAAATCTCTGACAGTACAGTTTATGGATGTTTTTTCTATTTAAAAAAGTAGATAAATTATTCAATTAATTTTTAATCCGATCATCTTTTCATTTTTAACGAGAGAGGTATTAAAAATTTTACATTTTGGTTTGAGAAATGAGGTATTGAAATAACTGTAATTTATCTGAATTGTGGAATAATATATTAAAGAACTCTATATTTAAAAAAAGAAAGTAATGATTTCTTGTACATCTTATCGTTTGAGAAAAAAATTGAGTCGTTCTGAGATTTTTTAAGTAATTTATAAATTTCAATGTCTTTAACCATTTACTATAATTTGGAATAATAAAGAAAACAAATTTATCAGATGTTATTCTTTACTATAATCTGTTTATTCATGGAAAATTAAAATCTAATGAAGTCAAAATTAAATTAAAATATCTTGAAAATGTTTGAAACCACATGTTGAAATAGAAAAGCAAATATACTTAGTAAAACCTGCATTATTAATTCCAATCTATTTATGAAATTCAGTGACTATCCCTTGTAAGGACATGAGATATAAATAACAATGTATAGTTACAGAGAAAATAGTAAAAATAGAGAATAATATATATAATATGTTGCTGGATAGCTAAATATTTTAGTAAAATTAATGCAATAGAATACATCAATTCATTTCAAAATTTTATATATTTTTTTTTGTGATTTGACTATGAATCAAATATATCAAATATCACATCAATAAAAAATTCAGAATTTTTTTTTTATATTACAGGCAAAAATTAAAAGAAAAACCACTTCTTGGAACACAAGGAATCGAATATTTATTTATGAAACATGAATCTCAGTCAGGACTGAAGCTTCTACTTCAGCCACATTTGTCAAGAATATGCAATTGTACAAGGTTTTGAGGATAGGCAATATTCCAGTAAAAGCATTGCGTCTATAACAGCGGACTCGTCGATGAAATTGGCAGTAGATTTCCTTCATTCTGAAAAATGAAAAAAATCTGGAATGCATTGTAAAATTCAAAGTGCTCTTTAACCATTGGTGAAATGAGTGAGGCTTGTAAGAGATGCATCTTTCATGCAGTTGTAGATGCTATGGTGCAGATCAACACAGTGAGGAACCTTTCCTGAGTTTTTCCAAACTTAAACTGGACATTTCTGTTGCTGCAGTGTAGGGGATGCCATGTGGCTTTTAGATATCAATTTCAGTTTGATATCAGAGAAAGATTGCTTTTTGTTTTTTATTTGTATATGCTTTTATCTCACTTTTCAATCTCATGCATGTCACAAGCAGAAATAGCTGGTGACCAGAAGCTAATATTTAAAACATTTTTAAACACGTATAGAAAAATAACGTGGAAATGTTATAGTAAGTTTGATTGACATAATAAAACCCTGGTTCATCTGGTTTAAATATATGTCAGTAAAAATACTTGAAATTGAAACGTTAACAAGTGAAAAAAATAAGCTAAAACAGTGTGTCATCCTTGAAAATTGAGGATTATGCTTAAAAACAGCCATCGGGAATTTTAAAATAAATTCTGTTTAATTATATGTATTCGTCAACCTTGAAAAAGCTGCAGGAAGGCTTGGTCTCACTATAAACCGAACAACAAAGTACATGAAAGCGGGTGTACAAAGTGAAACAAGAACAATTATAAATATTCTGATAGAAGAATTTACCTTCCAATGGGTGGAAGAATTTGTTTACCTGGGTACTTTTGTGATAGCCAAATTCCATAGAAGCTTCTTATTGAATAGCTTTTTGGAAGAAGATCAATTGGAAGAACCAACCTGCATTGGACTTATGATGTGGGGGGCTGACACAAGATCCATCCTTCATATTCAAGATTGGAAATTGACTGCTCTGAACATAAATGACTGGTGGCTGATGTAACAGGAGATCTTGATGGGTTGTAGCGCCAACATTGATGATAATATTTATATACACTAAGTTTTAAATCTTGAAAAGACAATTTACAAATCAAGCTAACTACAATAAACAAATTACTTGTCAATATATAAAAATATTTATTAGTATTAATCTTATTTAATTCTATTGATTATGAGGTCATGATGAACAAATAAAATATTGTATCTTCACTTCCTACTGGAATCACAAAAACAATAGAGTTGACAGCTCCCATGTGAGTAAGCCTACCGCGCTTCTCTTAGAGCTGGAGTCAAAGCCTAAACACCAGGATATTTTAAGCAAATTTTCAACCTAATAGGCAGATACTACTCCTTTTGTGTATGATGAAAATATTCTTCTGCCAACTCAGACTGGTCTATTTAAATTTTATGGGGAATTTGCCTTCCACCTCCTCCCCCAGTTTAGACCTATCAAAAGTAGGTTCACTGGAAGCCACAGGATACATTTTCTGCCAATCTAGAACAGTCGTGCAGGCACCACTCAAAAACCCACTTTTGGCAATGAAAGTTCAGTAGATTTTCACTTTAACCTGATAAAACAAGGTTTTCTGAAGATTACAGGAAACGTCTGCCTATCCAAAATGGTCAATCATGGCCAGCCAAGGCCGTAATTTGATTAATATGTTGGAATCTCAATTTATATTGTTTTGTTTCTTTGTTTGCATTCTAACTAATCAATTGGGCTTTGTCACAAAATCCTTGAAGATGGGGCAAAGCCCTGAAACATTGGATATGTAAGTGAAAAACATTAGTAATAAAAAAATTCACCCCAGGAGGAAAATTAAATTTTTTTTACATGCCATCAAGAAACAATACAAAAACCTTCCTGTATAGAGTGATTTATCCTCAAAAAATCTCAAAATAAATTTTTATGGAATTATATACAATAAATTACAAGGAAAGAAAATGTGTATTTTGTTTTGTTGTGTAAAATAGGCTTGTGACCATGTAAAATAATTTTGTGAATAAAAATGTGAAATTTACTCCAGTGTTTGAATTTTATTTATTTAGATTTGAAGTTATAGTTTCTGTGCTGTATTTATTTTGTTGTTAATTATTTTTCTATTGAAATGCACTAAACTCAATGTGATGTTGACCAAAAGTACCTTGGGTTACACATTTAAGTCTAGAAATCCTTGAATGTTTTCATGCTATATCACTGGACACCCTATAGAACATTTATAGAGTAGCCTATTTGAAATTAAAAGAGCCAAGGAGAGAAGTGCCCAGTCTCTTTATTTGTCACTAAGGCAACTTGATGAGGTAGTGGTTGCTGTCAGAGATATTTAAAGAAAATTCTTGTTTGAAATGCGAATACTAAATTTCATTTTGATACAACACCCAACTTGATCCTAGCAAGATTTAGGAATTTGTATACTTTTTTAAAAAATGATTGGAGGGTTAGATTCAGTTTCTTCTTCAACAGCACTACAACCCATAGCGTCTTCTGTGCTGTGGCCATCCAGCTTTGCACCTTTTAATATTTTCTGGCGTCATGGTATACATAATATGCCCACCACAGCTTCGGTCTTATAACTCTACTGATTATACAGATGCTCAATCATAATTCTCTTGGTGGGTAGATCTTCAGACATTCTGGCTGGATGTTCTGCCCATCTGAGCCTTCCAAGCTTGATGACACAGAAGAAGTCCCTCTCATGATATAGGTCATGCAGCTCCTGATTGTTTCTCCTCCTCCCCTTCCTAATCTCCACTGCAGTATCATTGTTGCTGGTTATCATTGATCCTAGGTAGACAAACTCTGAAACCTGTAGAGCCCAAAAGAAACATTTGTGCCTTTCAATCTCGGAGCTTGATCTGATACCAAGTACTTGGTTTTGGCTTCATTGGCAATCGATTCAATTCATCCTAATGAAATTGAATGTGAAAAATATTATTTTATAATTATGTGACTTTTTAAAAGTAAGCTCCTCCCCTGTTTATGAACTAAAAAAAAAGTTTCAGGTCTATTTTTGAGAATTTTAAAAAGGTACTTTATATTGGGTTGTGCTGAAAATAATGCAGTATTTTGGTTTAAAAAGGAAGATTTACAACTGTTTTATTTAATCAAAATAGTCTCCAATACTATAAATACATTTCTGCCAACGTTTTGGCTACTTTTCCCTTCCCTCGGAATAGAATTTCCATCTTTAGAATTGATAAACTCCAAAAACACATTCCTAATTCCCTTAGTTCATTAATTTTTTTGTCATAAGTAGTGGACCAGGTGCCTAAAAAATGATGATCTGTAGGCGAGAGGCCCGGAGAGTAGGGTGGATGTGGCAGTTTTATATCCAAGCTCCAACAGTTTTTGTGACATCACACATGAAACATGTGGCCGGGTGTTGTCATGCAACAAAATAGGCCCCTTCCGAATGACCAAAGATGGCTTCATTATTGCCTATTTCTGATGAATTGCATTAATTTGGTTACAATAATAAGATTCTGTATTGATAGTTTCTCCAAGATTTAAGAAGCTGTAGTGTATCAAACCAAATGAAGCTCACCAAACAGTAACCATAACTTTTTTTGATGAGTTGGGAGCTTTAGAAAATGTTTTGCTGCTTCTCATTTGTTGAGCCACTGTCCAGAACATCTACTGTTATCATCATAAAGTATCCACTTTTCATCACCAGTAACAATTCTAGATAGAAAAGGGTTGTTTTTGTTTTGGCAAAAAAGTGTAGCACAAAGTTCATAATGCTGTTTTGTTTTTTTAGGTTGTTTAATGTGCGCATGGAACCGAACTTTCATGCTTTTTTACCTTTCCAATCATCTTAAGGTGGACATCGACGGTCGATTTGCTAAGGTTAAGTTTTCCTGCAAGTTCTCAAACAGTTCTGGGGTTTTCTTCCACCAAAGCCCACAGAACATCATCATCAAGAGAGGAAGTCCTTCCATGACCTTCTTTGTCTTCATTACTAAAGTCTCCCTGCTGAAATTTTTTGAACCACCATTGAACAGTGCACTTATTAATGCAGCTCTCGCCCCGGACTTGATTGATTTTTCTGGCTGTCAGCCCCATTTCAGCCGAGTTTAAACTCCTAAAACAAAACTATACGAAAATCACGCATTGACATCATAGTAAAGACTGGATTATTTCTAAGGAGCGAAATGCTACAGAGTTAAACAAACATTATCATTTGGAAGGAGATTAATAAGTGTTGTCATTCATACAAATGAATAATCCACTAAACATCAATAGTTTGTTATAGAGAAGGGTATTTTGAAGAAAATTGAAAATCATGCATTATTTTCTGGACAACCCCATAATATAAAGCACTTAGTTGTTTTTTTGATTGTGGATAAATGAAAAAATATTATGTTTCAGTTTTTCTAAATCTGTTAAAAAGTTCATTAAATTGCTATTACGAGAAATTAATTTTAAGAACCGATGTTTTTAAGTTGATATATTGATAAAGGTAATAATGTTTTAAATATCAATATTTTTTTTTTAACAAGTCATGATTTTGTTTTTGAGACCCCAGTCTTACACCATTCATTTCCTCAAGATGAATTCTGCATGGTAGGAATCTAAAACAATTTTCAAGCTCTTATGTTTATTGGTCATGTCGATTTTATTATTTAAACAAATGATTTATCTATTACATAAAATATTAACTAGCTAACAATATTAATAAGGAGTGGGGTGGCTCAGTGGTAGGGCACTGAGCTTCCAATGCTCAAGGTCCCAGGTTCGCATCCCGGCTCATGGCAGAAAAATTATTTATTCTGATTCATTGGTCGTGAGGCGACTCAGGGATAGGGAGACCCTCCTGGGACATACCCAACCACTATAAAATGGGTACCCTTAATTAAATAATTGATTAAGGGGGAAAACCTGCCGGTTGAGCGTGATCCTGGCCCGATCAGTACTTTCTCTAAATAGTACTGAACACAAGACCCTTCATGGGTTGTAGTGGCACAGGTAAAAATAATATTAATAATCAAGCATACGGTCTAGGTTATGCTATATTTAAATTTTCTTGACCACCAATTCTCATTATTCAATATATCTTTATTGACTCAGCAATTTGAATTTGTTTCTTTTTACCTTTTGAAAACCTAATTATTGTGTGACGTTGACTATGAACAATTATGTATGTTTTCATTTTAGGTTAATTATAATTTTGTTTTAGGAATATGAAAGTTTTGATTACCCCCAAAGAGTTGGACGTCAAAAGCATGTTTTGGATATTGACATACATTTTAAAGATACTCGGGGTGGAGGTAGAGGTCGTGGAGGTAGAGGAATGGGTCGTGGAGGTCCCCGCATGGGTTTAAGAGGAACAAATGGGCCACCTGCTGAAAAAGTTCATATTGTAAGTTTATAAAATTAAAATTATTTGGTTTTATGGTATACATTGGTAATAAGACAAGATTTTTGTTTCAGGCTCGTGATCCTGTTATTCCAAAAATTGCTCCAAAAGTTGATGATGAACATGATTTTCCTTCTCTGGGTTAAATGACTAGTCTTGAATCAATAATTGTTAAATTCAATTAAAACTCCTTCTGAATTTAGACTGACATTTATTTATAGGGAAAAAAAAAAAAATAATAACCTTTCCTATTTCCATTTCAGGAATCTAGGTTACTTATTACTAATTATATATATATATATATATATATATATATATATATATATATAAAGATCAGTGCTTTTCTCTTTGTTTAGTAACCATTATTTGTGTCTGAAGTATTTTAAATTTAAATATTTCAAAAAATTTCATTTTTTTGTAATTCATTGGAATGAGTAATTATGTTTGGTATTAAGATCTTTAAGTTTTATGTGCATATTTTCCACTAGTCTCATCAAACTAATTATTGATTATTCTCCTTTTTTTTTTTTTTTTTCCTTTTACTGTTAAAACAGTTTCATATACTCAAATAAAGTTTGCCTTCTTAAACTTATTTTGAATGTGGTTAATGTATGATTTTTATGAGCGTTTGCTTGAATCTTCAAAAAGATTCGCAGTGTAGAAGTTTGAATTTTTGTAATTATTATACACATTAATTAAATCAAATTTCTCAGAATTAATTTTTTTTTCAATATTACTTTTATTTTTAATTTTTTTTATCTATTTACATATGTGTATATATATGTATGTGTGTATATTATTTTGAGTGTGTTTTAAACTTAGTGTTTTTTTGTTATTTTTTTTTTTAAGAGAAAGGAATTTCATTTGGTAAAACTGTTGAATATTTTAGTATGAATGGTTTTATGTACTTGAAAAAAAAAGTGTGAGAGGAAATGAGCATGACAGGTCCTTGGTTGGGTTTAGTAGAGACATCCATGTTATAATTATTTTTATCTATACTTAATTGTATCATATACTTATAATAAACTATATATTTGTAATTATTTATGTATAGCCAGACAAAATTTTTTTTTTTTTTGTTCATTAATATTGTTGAGGAAATTTAAATAACCATTCATGAGGAAATTTAAAACAAATATCCTTGGTATAAACACTAGAAGGTCATGAAAAAATATTTTGCGTATGAAATTTATTTTAATTGCGTAATATTGTATTTTTTAGGTTAATATCTGCAAGTTTTGTAATAAATGCTTTATAAAGTAAAAATATTCTGTGTGTATGCATGTATGTGTGCGTAATTGATAGTGGGAGTTTGTATCCATATTAATGTTATCTGTGTAAGATATTTTGTAGCATCTGATCAATACTGTCTTATTTTTGTACTCATTACCCAAGGTTTCTGGGTTGTTAAAAATTGATCAAATCGAAGAGACAATTCTTTTCAAATTTGATGTTTTGACTGTTAAAAACACTAGCAAATTTTTGTATATGTTTATTTTTTTTTTTTTTTTTGCGTCTAGTTCTCATGAACAATTTTTAAATCTGTAAATTGTATATATAATTTGCATTTTCATTTCTTTTAAACATTTTAATATTAAATGTAATACAAAAAATAAACATAAGGAAATTTGCTATATTTATATTAAGCAGCATTGCCAATGCTTATGAAGTTATAATTTGGTTCAAATATTTGGTGTGTTTTATTTTATAGGCGTTAAAAGATACATTAAGACATTTTGACATATTTTCACATTGTTTATCACAAACTGTTAATAAGTATTTTAAAATTTCAATACTAAGAGTCTACCTGTTGTGATTGTATATGTCCAGTTATTTTATATTAATTATCTTTTATTTCACGATCCATAGTTATTGTAAAATATAAATGCTAGGTAATTATCATTTTATAATATATATATTTTTTTTTTAAGAAAGTGACTATTATAAATTATAGTTAAAATATAAAATGTACAATTATTTTTGGTTCTCATAATTCTGTAAATTATAACATTTTCAATGCTTGTCTCTTCTTTTTTTTATCCCTTATCCCTAATAATCCTGGAAATCTAATATACCTGTAGTGTCTTGCTTAGTAAGAATGCAGTACCTTCTAAATTAATTGTTTTTGATATTTTCAAACCATATTAATTAGGAAAACTTTATTTGTAAACTTTAAAAGACACTGTAAATTAGATAACCTTCTTACTTTTAGTGTTTTAAAATACAATATATTCATTCCTAGAAATTGGTGTAACTGTTAGAAATGCATTAACTTGTTATTGCAAGCGTAGTAACCACTAGATCACTTACTGTATATTTACTAAGCTGATGACTAACAGAAAATAATTCAAATCAGTTCACTGTCCTTTGCAGTAATTGTTGTTTATAATTATGGTCATCGAGAAGCAGAAATGAATGAATTAGGTGCCTTTAAGGTTATGAATTAAAAAAATGTTTTGAAACTTTGTATGGGTTTGTCAGTGAACAAAAAATGAGAGAACAAGGAAACATTTGGTTGGGATCACTGATGTTTAGAAAAAACTTTATTGGAATTGTACGATGTTTTTAAGATGCTCACCTTTTTTTTTTCTTATCACACATAATTTATTTCATTGTCTAATTGCAAGAAGGCATTAAGTGACATTTCATTACTATATGTCCCTAAGAAATTGATAAATTTTCTTTTTGTGTAAATAATGCATTTTTCATATTTCATGTATCAAAGGGTCATTATTTCGGTACACTTACTTTTTTTTTTTATTGATAAATAAGCTTGCGGTTCTTGAAAATGTTCTGCTCCATCATAAATGTACCTCCTGACTGTAGTAAGTTGATGTGCTATCTTCAAAAAAACAAAAAAAAAAATAGTATAAGATAAATGTGAGGATTATATCTAAGGCTTTCCTATTTTTATATCTAAGGTTGGCCAGTATGGCTACTGGGTATTCAACAAGAATTATTTGAAAACTTTTTACTTGATATTACAGATAGGTCACAGTTGTGCAAAATTTATGTATGTATATCCGTTTATAATTGTAAGATTGTCTTTTTTTTTTAATTAAAATTTTGTATTTCTTCAAAATTAGGGTCCATTTTTTTATAATAATATCGGTTTTTAAGATCCCACATTCAATTTTTTTATGAAATTACTATCAATTTTAAGATAACTTCAGATTTATGAGTGTTGTTATGTTGTCGAGGCGCTTTTTTAATAAAAAAAATACTATCGGTTTTAAAATTGCGCGTTCGAGTATCGATTTCGCATCCAGTGGACTTCTATCTGACGGATTCTGTCGGCCCTTGTCCCTAAGGCGGGCACTGGTTTCTTGTATGATATTTATTTTTTTAAATATTTAATAGTTGACCGTTGTATTATAAAGAAAGGAGATGGTCCGGGGTTGCGGCCACAAATAGGCTGTATAGTGGCAAATGGTAATGGGAAAAACCTAGAAAATTACATTATCAAATTACTGTTGATTATCAAACTACTGTAATTTTCTAGGTTTTTCCCATAACCCAAACAGGTCAGTAAATTCCCCAATACCTAACCTTACCCTGATTTTCCATTTCTAAGTGAAACTTCTAGCTGAACACACCTGTAAATCTCTATTTTTATTCACTTATTTTTTGGTTTTCTTTTCTTTCTCCACATTCCTTTATTTCTATTATTTTATATTATATCCTTTTTCCTTTTCTTTCAATCTTTCCTGTAGATCTGTATAAGTATATTGACATTTGCGTACATTATATTTTACTCTACAACAATTGTTACAATCTATTTACTTAAGCTTAGGATCTTGTTACTTAGCTTACTCTGTTTATATTTTAATGTACTTACTGATTATAATTCTAATAAGCTTATTCACATCGTTTACAATTTTTTGTCTAAATATTATTACACGGTGGGCCAGACCGCCTTACCGTGCACCCTCCCCCCCACATCCCTATAAATTGCATATCCTTGTTCCTTGTAACAATTTATTAAAAAAAAAAGACAATGTTCCCACAAAAAAAGTGAACGCAGTGCCCCAAGATTATTTTTTAAAAAATTTTAAGCAGTTCCGTAGAAAATGTACTTATGCGGCAGAAAACTGGTACTGGCGTGGGTGCCTACAGGCCTGTACCACATCATTCAGCACACATAAATGGCTTAGTTATAGTGATATAATAACATTTTTGGCACATTATATTGGTTTTATTAACGAACAAATATTAATGCAATAATTTAATCTTAAAAAAAAAATTAAAATTTTTTAAAAAAATTTATTATTATTTTTTTAAATTTAACCTACTTTATTCTATACGTAGGTCGTTTAAGAAGACCTCAATTGTAAAAATGATATAATAATAATAATAAAACTTAATTAAAAAATACTTTGCTAAATATCTTTATTTTTTTCATTTAACGTTTGCAATTTAACACTGTGTTTTGTATATTTACTGATTCTTAGAGATAATTAAAATTTTTATATACTTCCCAGGAAATGAGTCATATTAATACCTGTTTTATAAACTAAAATAATATATACCTAATCGGAACTATATATAATGAATAGCTACCGGGTTGTTTAGTAAAACTCATATATCACTAATTAAGAAATTAATTTTTATTTCCTTTAATTTGTGCGGAAGTTGGATTATATCATAAATAAATAGGAAATTTTAATATTGAATGAATTATTCTCTCTGCACAAAGAAAGATAGGAAGGGTGACGCTATAAGTTCTTCTATAAACCAGATTTGATTGTTTGTTTTTTATATCAATTAAATAAGGAAAAACGCGTAATTGAATCAGAAAATTGGAAAAATACAGTAAGCGAACGAGAAAGGAAGTGCCAAATCCTCGGAAAATATAAAAAGGACTAGTATCCATTATATAGCTAAATGAATGTTTAGTAGACAGATGAACAGAATATTTCAAGATGCTGCTGTTCCTTAAAAAATCTTTTGCAAATGCACTAAACAGAAGGAGAGCTATGAGCTATAACTTTCTCGATATACCTCTCTATATCCTCCTTCAAAGTGAAGATAGTCCCGATGTGCACCTTCAGCAATCGAAAATAAAGTGGTTTTCACCATAATAAACATACATCGTCCACTTGATGTCATCCAAACTGCAATAGACCCCCTTTTAGCAGCATCTTGAAATATTCTGTCCATCTGTGTACTAAACATTCATTTAGCTATATAATGGATACTAGTCCTTTTTATATTTTCCGAGGATTTGGCACTTCCTTTCTCGTTCGCTTACTGCATTTTTCCAATTTTCTGGTTCAATTACGCGTTTTTCCTTATTTGATTGATATAAAAAACAAACAATCAAATCTGGTTTATAGAAGAACTTATAGCGTCACCCTTCCTATCTTTCTTTGTGCAGAGAGAATAATTCATTCAATATTAAAATTTCCTATTTATTTATGATATAGTCCAACTTCCGCACAAAATAAAGGAAATAAAAATTAATTTTTTAATTAGTGATATATGAGTTTTACTAAACAACCCGGTAGCTATTCATTATATATAGTTCAGATTAGGTATATATTATTTTAGTTTATAAAACAGGTATTAATATGACTCATTTCCTGGGAAGTATATAAAAATTTTAATTACCTCTAAGAATCAGTAAATATACAAAACACAGTGTTAAATTGCAAACGTTAAATAAAAAAAATCAAGATATTTAGCAAAGTATTTTTTAATTAAGTTTTATTATTATATTATATCATTTTTACAATTGAGGTCTTCTTAAATGACCTACGTATAGAATAAAGTAGGTTAAATTAAAAAAAATAATAATAAATTTTTTTAAAAAATTTTAATTTTTTTTTTTAAGATTAAATTATTGCATTAATATTTTTTCGTTAATAAAACCAATATAATGTACCAAAAATGTTATTATATCACTATAACTAAGCCATTTATGTGTGCTGAATGGTGTGGTACAGGCCTGTAGGCACCCACGCCAGTACCAGTTTTCTGCCGCATAAGTACATTTTCTACGGAACTGCTTAAAATTTTTTAAAAAATAATCGGCGTTTTAGAAAGAGAAATATATTCTCCAGATGTTTTAATTCGGCGAGTTTTGCGTTATTGTAGGCCGTTTAATTACAAACGACGCTTGATTTGTAACTTGAAAATTTTTTTGTAAAAAAAATTGATTTTACTGGTGTTTTTCGTAGCCTAAGCCAATTATTTTTTAATATTTCTTCATGTTTTATTATTCTGTGATTATTCAGCTTTAATAAAAGACCAACTATGAGGAAATTAAGCCAAATGCTGATTCTCAGTGACCAAGAAAACTAACTAAAGTCAAAGTCGTCAATCCGCCATCTTTGGACGCCATTTTGGGGCAGTGCGTTCAGTTTATTTGTGGGAACATTGGCTTTTTTTTTTAATAAATTGTTACAAGGAACACAACGATATGCAATTTATAGGGATGTGGGGGGGGGAGGGGGGGTGCACGGTAAAGGGGTTTGGCCCACCGTGTAATAATATTTAGACAAAAAATTGTAAACGATGTGAATAAGCTTATTAGAATTATAATCAGTAAGTACATTAAAATATAAACAGAGTAAGTTAAGTAACAAGATCCTAAGCTTAAGTAAATAGATTGTAACAATTGTTGTAGAGTAAAATATAATGTACGCAAATGTGAATATACTTATACAGATCTACAGGAAAGATTGAAAGAAAAGGAAAAAGGATATAATAAAAAATAATAGAAATAAAGGAATGTGGAGAAAGAAATGAAAACCAAAAAATAAGTGAATAAAAATAGAGATTTACAGGTGTGTTCAGCTAGAAGTTTCACTTAGAAATGGAAAATCAGGGTAAGGTTAGGTATTGGAGAATTTACTGACCTGTTTGGGTTATGGGAAAAACCTAGAAAATTACAGTAGTTTGATAATCAACAGTAATTTGATAATGTAATTTTCTAGGTTTTTCCCATTACCCAAATAGGTCAGCAAATTCCCCAATACCTACCCTTACTCTGATTTTCCACTTCTAAGTGAAACTCCTA